TTTTCATCCAGATTGAAAAAAAAAAAAAAGTCTTTAAAATTATGTAGATAATGTTTTAATTGACTTTCAGTTCAAGTCAGTATTACAAGACAATCTGTTAATTGAAAATAATCGCAAAGGCCTACTGTCATTGATACCTACTGAATCTGTCCTAACCTCTTTCACAATGATGATGAAGAAGGTAAATTTGGAATGTTTCTCTTAACAATTTTAATATTTTGCCTGCCTGATGTCACAGAAGTATTTTCACAATCCTTTCCCAGTATTTCCCAATGCTGGCTACTGTGTTTGTATATGCAATAGACATTGCCAAAGGCTTTTCTGATTGATTTCATTTTAAGAACTTAATGCTTTTGCAACAGCAAAAGTACCAAACAGCTTTTAAATCATTACTAGTAATTGTCTTCTGTAACTGCTGTATTTTCAGATCTTACAGTCACAAAACTGGCCACATCAGTTCCATGAATAAAATTATTTTCAAAATTTTTATGACTGGCTTCCAGGGCTTCATGCTGCTGAGATGTACTGTTCAAAAGAATCAGCCATTGGAGATTATTTTTTTTTTCAAATGTTGAAGATGTTTATGTGGCGATACATTCTGCATTTTATCATTCTTATTTGTTATAATAAGGCATGATTTTCCATTTGCAAAGCTAAGATATGACCTGGAATTTTTTGGATTTCAGAATCTACATAGAGTTGGCTTGTTTCAGCTTTAAAAGTTATAAAAAACAGGTTAAATCCTTCTGTGTTGAATGCTTGAATCTAGAATTAGTTAACTGAAGTTTTTTGTTTTTCTAGTGTTCCTGTTTTCTGAGTCTTGAATCTGTCATCCACAGGATTTTCTTACAATCAAACTTACTGTTAGTCAAGTGTTTTGTGCTAGATTTCCATAAAGCAATGTTAGGCATCTTAATTCTCTAATTTAATTCTCATTTTTTACTTCTCTTACCAAGCATGAAACCACCTTGGTAAGTGGAGTGAGAGCCTGCAGTTTGCTCTTAACTGCTGAGGTTATTGCTTCCAGCCTGATCTGTTGCAGGGGCAATTAAATCTGAAATACCGCCTTGTTTGTGTTGGGTTCCATTGCAGGGCACAACCTTAAGATGAGGCAAGTTATTCTTAAAAAGTGATTGTGGAATGGCAAATCCCCTTTCCATCTCAGAGAAGCAGAAGGTGCATGGGCATTTACATCAGTCAAACGAGCATTGCCAGCAAGTTGGGGGAGGCGATTATTTCCCTCTACACAGCCCTGGTGAGACACATCTGTAATGATGGTTCCAGTTCTGAGCCCCCAGTACAAGAAAGAGATAAACATATTTGAGTGAGTCCAGTGAAGGACTGCAAAGCTGGTGAAAAGCTTCAAGTGTCTTGCACGGAAGAGGACGCTCACGAGGGATCTTATGTATAAATACTTGAAGGGGGACAGGAGGGTAAAACAGATAAGGCAAAGTTCAGTGATGCCAGGTGACAGGACAAGAGGCAATAAGCACAAAATGAATTAAAGGAAATTCCACTTAAATGTAAGGAAAAGGTGTGGGGTTTGTTTTGTTTTGTGATGTTTTCTGTTTTGTTTATTGAGGGGGGGTATTGTGGTTTGGGGTTTTTTGTTTGTTTGTTTGTTTTTTGTTTTTTTAGAGTGGCAGTGGTCATACATTGAAACAGGTTGCCAAGAGAGGCTGTAGAGTCTCTGTCCTTGGAAATATTCAAAACCAAACTGGGCAATGTCCTGACCTACCTGTAGTAGTTGACCATGCTTGGATCAGGGGAGTTGAATAAGATGATCTCCAGAGCTCTATTCCAACTGCAACCATACTGTAATTGTGTAGAATTCAGTATCAGTAGGTGGGTATCTGTGTATGTGCATAGGTAGGCCATGTCAGGAAAACACTTCTTTTCCTGCTATTAACACTTACATGCTTGGAGAGCTGAGAGGTAGGACCATCTTTTAGCTGAAATTTGATGTTTAGCATTGCCAGCGATAGAGATGTGTTGTGGTTTGGGCCACAAAAAGAAATATATAAACAGGCAATGCACAGTGTAATTGCTCACCACCCGCTGACCAACACCCAGCCCGTTCCCGGCCAGCGACCCCCAGATACCAAGATCCCACAGTCGCAATCCCGGAAGCGAGAGAGAGAGAGAGAGAGAGAGAGAGAGAGCCCCTTCCCAACCCCCCTCCTCTATACAGTGAGCATGACGTGCCATGATACGGAATATTTCACGGGCCAGTTTGGGTCAGGTGCTGTGGCCGTGCTCCCTCCCTGCTCCCTGTGCCCTGGCGCACGGGCAGGACATGGGGAGTCGGGGAGTCCTTGAAGTCTCAGCAGCAGCTGAAAACATCAGTGTGCTGTCAGCATTCTTCCCATACCAAACCCAAAGCTAAATCCAAAACACAGCACTCGTCTAGTCCCTGAAAAGGAATATTAACTCTATTTCAGCCCAAACCAAGACAAGATGTCTACCTGAGTTATTCTAATTGTAAACAGCAGGAAAGTTAGCAGCATTCATGGATAAATACTCGTTAAGAATTAATTATTTTTGTATAATAAAGATTCCCCTTTTCCTCTCACTCCCAACATTAAGATCTCATCTACAATGATCCCTTTCTTGTATAGTTGTTTAGAATTTTTCCTTCTTTAACATCATATGATTGGGAAAAATTATTAGGTTTTATTTCAGAAATTCAGGAATTTGGTCTTTTTAAAGAATTGCACATTTCTAAAATCATCTGAAAATCTGCATGAGTAGTTTTATTATCTCTTATAAAGTAGTTCATATGTCAGTGGATTAATAAAATTACTTGCATGTTCAGAGCTTCTATTTGTTTAATTTTTTAAAAATTATCTTCTGGGGACATTTTACAGTTTCAGAAGATTTATAAGGCTGCATTTAATGGCAGTTTCTTTTACCTGCTCTGGAGCACGTGCCATGGTGATTTTAAGTGTGCTGTGCATGTTTGACAAGTTAGAAACTTAGCAATTCCCATCAGTGTTGAGTCGCACTGTCTCAGGCTCTGTTTTTGTTGGCTGGTATCCAGTACCATACTATAAAGTATGTTTACTTGACAGTAGAAAGTGGAGAACCACATTAACTACAAAGTTTAAAAAGGCTGGCTAAACACATGCAATATATATTAATAAAAGGCCACCCACCTTTAACCTTCCATACTTATAATTAGATTTGTGTTTTAAGAGTTACTGTAGCATTTTGAGCATTACATAACAGTATGTAAGAATCTCTTATTTAAATCAAACAACTTATTAGCAACCCTGTATTGGTTATTTTGGTTGCTTGTGTCAGGGATCATGGACATAATACATTATTATCAGAATTCTATTTTGTGCTTCAGAGTTTCCTGTAAAAAGATTGTTGTCCTCCTGTTGTCTCATAATAAGCAAGCCACGTTTATGTACCTCTAGGTAAATGTGAAGATATAATGTTGAATGTGTATCTATGTAGAAGGAGGATGTTTTACAGAGGAATGTTGTAAAGAATGGTTAGTTGATTCATGTAAAGTCATCTAAATTTTTCTTCCTAATCAAGAACACAAAACAGAAAAGCAGCTTAGAATACAGTCATCCATCTTGTAGTAAAATGAAGTGCTGATTCATGATGGCTGAATGAGCTTCAGAGTTCTTTCAGTATTTTTTATGTTGTGTGGCTCATAAAATTCAAAAAAATGGGGTCTGGACCAAATCAGAAATAGTATGGAACATGAAATGGGAAGTGATTCAGGAGTCACTAGAGCTGATACATAACCATTCTCTACCAATTTAGAGCATTCTCATCTCCCAAGTTACAGGACTATATTACAGTCTTAATTACGTTTTAGCTTTCCTGTATTTCTCTTGTTAAGACATCAGTGATTCCCATTTTGTGAATTTCATGTGCTGTATTACATAAACTAAAAAATATACGTATAGATACTTCAATGATAGATGGATCATAGTGGTTGAATATTGAATTCTCAATTCACTTTCAGAGGAGTCTGTTCCTGGCTTTTGAGAAAGAAATAGTAAGCTTGGGGGAGTAAAAGGGCTAGGAAAATGAACATTGTTCAGGGAAATACTGACAGGATGATACATCCTGCTAGCTCTGGATACATTTATTACATAGTTAACACAGACATTGTTAAGACCTGTCTTCAGTTTTATCCCTTTAGAGAGATATTATCCCTCAAAAATAGATACTTTCCCCCCCCCTCCCCCAGTTAGTCAGATGCACCTACAGGTTTTGTGTTTGTGTTAAGATGTATTGTCCTTCATGGCAGATTGTGCCCACTTCTTTCGCTCTCTTGAGTCAGAAGCTCGAGTCTTACAGAGCTTCTGTGCTGACCTGCTGAATCAGACTAAATACAGTAATCACGTGGAGATTCAAAGTCACATGGAGAACCACGCCGTGTGTATAAAAGAACAATACTTTTAATGTCTGAAAATCATTTTCTCTGCTGACTACTTGGGTGATAGAGCTGTGAGGCATTAGCTTCAAATACCAAGTTCTTATGGGTGTTGTGGGAAAGAAAGAACCAAGAGTGAAAATCAGCTAGTCTTCCGTTTCTGCAGTCAGCAAGTGAAAGGTCAGCACTGTGTGAGAAGGGAAAACCAGATAAAGTAAAGAACAGGGTGAAAGAATTAAAAATGCAAAATTCATGAAGGCCTGTGTTGCTATATCTGAAGCACTTAATTGTTCTCCTTCAAATGCCCCTTTAACTTTCCACTTCCATTATGCCCACAAAGATGTGGGGCAGTTAGCCTGTGGAAACCACTGGTTATCACACTGCCATCAATTTGTACTTCCTTCTCTGCCTATCTCCATGTGTTGTCACTCCTTTTACATTGTATTCTGTTCTGGAGAGGAGCTTTTATTCATTCACATATTCATTTATGTGCTTAAGCTTGTTCCTGCTAAGTATCACTGTGATCAACTATTTGACGATACGAATATTAATTCTAAGACCTAGGTGAATGACGAACTATCAATATGTTGCTTTATTTCAGAGTGTTGTGCGTTGCCTTTGGCATCCCAAGCTGAACCAGATCATGGTTGGTACAGGAAATGGTTTGGCCAAAGTGTACTATGATCCTGTCAAAAGCCAGAGGTACGTAATCATGATTAATGATTAAGAACACTATTTTTTTCTCAACTTTACCCTGATTCTGTGGTTCTGTGACTGTATTAAGAAATGAAAAAACCTGGTTTAGTAACATTTGTTTTGCAGAGTTTTACTTACTCAGTAACAGTAGAAAGAAAGAAAAAAAAAAAAAAACCACAAATGCGTTTGTTTCTGAAAAGTGACTCATTTTCCTCTGGGCTTTTCATGGTGCAGTATGTTGACAGTTCTACCTGAATTTACAAATGCTTTAGTTTTTAACTGCATGAAATCCACAGTAAGAATAACTAGCCTTTCAGCTGGTATCTTGGAGGTTGCTGATGTGGTCTTATTGAAAGGGTATTTATTGTATTTACTCACATTTTTTGATGTCCTTTTTTTTTCTGAAGTAAAAATCTTGTTTAGAAGCATCAAGTTAAACTTCAGTGTTTGTGAAGTAATACCTGAAGACCCAGTTTGAGAGGGTGCAAACCAAGGAAGCACTTTCCTATCTTTCTGTTGCTAGTCTTCTCCTGTACCCCCACCTATCACATGTGGATTTTGCCTGTACATCTAATGGAAAGGTGGTAGTGATTCATCAGAAGGTGACTTTGACAGCCTGGAATGAAAAGAAGAGGACTTAGCTAGTCTGTAAATACTTATTCCGCAATTTGCTTTTACTGTCTGGATTGGCTGGAGAACTGGGGCATGCTTCCTTCCTGTCAGCAGGGGGGAGCCGTACACTTCATCTACACTGAATAATATGTTCTTCCCCTACATGCGTTTATCTTTGTTTCATTGCCACCCAAAACCATACGGTATTACAGTTCGCCGTTTCTGGTTATTTACTGTGACCTGGACACTTGAATGTGAAGATGAACTCTGGTTTCCAATATCATCAGAAATAATTCACATTTTTCTGGTCTTTGTCAATTTAGAGAGCAAGAGAGTTGGTCATGATTATTCGGACACCTCTCCAGAGGGCAGCCTGAGTCTCTTAGGCACAGACCACAAAAGCCCTAACTCAGTTTTGTTCCCAGTTTGTTTTCTGGTTCTCATCATGTGGAGGAAAATACTACCAGTTTAAATCAGTTATGCTGCAGCCAGGCTTATGCAGTCTTTCCTGCTGCAGTGTTACAGACACCTGGTTAGATAACTGCCACCTCTACTGCTTAGGAAGAATAGAGTGCTAGGAGCAAATCATTGCCCATGTTTGGAGAGGAGCACTTTCAATGTGCACACTACAAGTATTGTGGACAAATGACACATGAAATGAATCTTCTACCCTTATTTCCACATATCATATAAACTGCTCTATAACAGAAACACTCATCTCTCTACCTTACTTCACATATGCGTGGACAGGCAAAGATACACACATTCATGAATATTTAAAGTGCTGTATAATTTTGTTGAGACTGTATCTTGAGTAAAAAATGCTTTCTGTTTGATACAAAGAGACCAACTGAACTGCTGTATGTTTCCTCCTAGGGGAGCAAAATTATGCGTGGTCAAAACAAAACGAAAAGAGAGACAAGCAGAGACTCTTACACAGGATTACATTATAACACGTAAGGAATTTAAACTTGTCTTTATAACATCATCCTTAGCTCTCTCAGGTTTGAAATTAATTGCAGATCATTTAGCTTAATATTTTCTCCTCTAAAAAGTTGCAGTCTTTCATTAAGAACCCTTGTTCTTAGAAATAGTTAAACTGCTTCTGTAGAGCAAGTAGTTGTTTGGCAGCAGGATAAAAAGAAACCTGGTAACCAGGCCCACATCAAGGCACTTTGGTTCTGGGTTCACATCTCAGGTACTTTCAGCCACAGCTGCCTCATACTTACCTCACTGCTGCAGATGTCCAACTCCAGATTTTGGGTAGCGTAGCAGTGGGTAAAGCAGCAGCTGGCAAAGATCAGGGATCTCCTTTGGGTGCTCTTCTCAATCTAGCCTTGACTATATCAGCACATAATCTATTATCTTAATACTTTGTGTGCCCTGTCATTAGTGTTTGTACTGTATAGAGCTTTTGTGATTTGTAAAGAACTTTCTGCTTAAAATCCAATGGAGCTTGTGTATTCAATGGCATTTATAAATGCTGTTCAAAGATTTAGGTCCCAATTATGCAATTCTTTGGAATTTTATCACTGAGTTTTTATCTCTTTAATTGTTTCTTCCACATCATTTGAAACTAAATAAGGATACTTCCATATAAAATAATGCAGAAAAGTGTAAGGATTTGCATTGAAAATTTTTGAGTTTGTTGCATATTTTGGAAACTTTCCAGAGATTAGATGTCTGTTTTAAGATTACAGATAGAACTGGAAAGAACTGAAGATCTCAGAATTCCTTTTGCAAAGTGAACTGACTCCTTTTTTCCCTCCCTCTCCTCTTTTTTTTTTTTTTTTTTTTGCTCCTTCCTTCCCACCCCCCTGCCTTTGGACTTCTAGCTGCTCTTTAATATCAGGATTGCCTGTAATGGCTATTTAAAATGTAGGAAGGTTGTTTTGAGGTAATAGGTGTTATTTTTAAGACACAAGAATACAGTTTGGGTTTCTCTTAGGCAACCTAAACTGCACAAATGGCAAAAGCTTGGATCTGTGTGTTAGTCCCCTCAGATGCTCTATGCAAACTGATTAAGCTTAGTGCTTGACAGCAAATTGTCCCAGGCATTTCATACTTCATGAAATCTGCAAAAATAAAACTTAAACATTTATTTCCAAAGATCTACTGCTGTGTCACCTGGCTGCGACTTCACTCAGCCTAATAAATTGAACAGGCTACTAGACATAAGCTGAAAAATCAAACTGCTAGGTCCCCAGATGCTGCCTTCCATTTTTTATTCAATATAGAGCCAGTGACCCTAAATTTAAAATTTATTTGGTTGGGTTTTGTCTTTGTTGGGTCTTTTGACCCCAACACAATTTCCCACCTTTTGAGAAACAGCAGTGATCAGCACACCTTAATGTGCAATCTAAACCTCACGACAAGAAAATGATGTCCCTTAACATGGTGTTTCCCTGTTGCTGACAAATGTGTCTCTTGTCTGAGCAGACCAAAACCATTACTGTGATTTAAGATACTGTAGCAGGTTTATGAGGAAATAGAAGATTTAAATCCTGAGAATTTAGCCATATTGTCTCAGTTACAGGTATTCTTCCAATCTTGATTAATCTCACAGTTTAAGAAGGAACATGACTGTGACTTCATATGGAGAAACATCACATTTTGGGTCATTGAGGGGATTCTGGCCCTCACTGTTTCAGATCCAAGAATGCATCTAGGGTTTTGTCACGCTGTTAGAGTATTAGAAAGCTGTAGAAACGTGGAAAGTTCAGAAAAGAGCAGTGGGTTGGTCAAAATGCTAATGTTGAGAACTCAGTGAAAGAGGAATAAATTAAATATGCATAAGCTGTGCAAACAGTATTTCAGATGAAAGGCCCCTGCCCAAAGGAACCCTGAAAATATGGGTGCTTTCACCTTTGAAAAATTCAGCAGAAAGAAGCCCTCTAAAATACACCTCAGTAAACCACTGCTTGGTTACAAAGGAAATGGGAGGCTGCCTCTGACACCTCTTCCATTGCAAGAAAGAATCCCAGTCTTTGTAATTAAAACCTTGAAAATAATATGGAATTTCTAACTTTTTCTCCAAACTGTGATCCTTCAGCCCATGCACTTCCGATGTTCCGTGAACCACGACAACGAAGCACCAGGAAACAACTGGAGAAGGATAGGCTGGACCCCATGAAGTCTCACAAACCTGAACCTCCAGTAGCAGGACCAGGTAATCTAGGCATAATCATTTCAGACTGTCATATGCCAAAGGGACTGTCATGCTGGGGTTCTACACTCATTCAGATTTGTATTTTAACTTTTTAGGATGGCGACTACTATATATGTGTGGGCAGAGTACAGCACTGTAAGACGTTGGTCTTTGATTGGAGTGTTTGCCTGGAATAAATTAATAATCACAATGACTTACTCCAAGTTATATAATTAGTAAAACACATGAGTGCAGCTCTAAATTAGACTCTTCTTATAGTATTAAATAACTTATTTGTATCAGATCACTGTTACAGACACAGTAGAATATCTCTCTCATTATTTCTTAAATATTTTTCTCTAAAATACTGTCCTTTTCTTTTTTTTTTGCTACAGGTCGTGGTGGGCGTGTTGGAACTCATGGAGGTACCTTGTCATCATATATAGTCAAGAATATTGCACTGGATAAGACAGATGATAGCAACCCTCGAGAGGCTATTTTACGTCATGCAAAGGAAGCGGAGGAGAATCCATACTGGGTTGCTCCAGCATATGCTAAGTAAGGAAACAATGAAATATACAAGTACTATTTCTGGAGGCCAGTGGGAGTTTGGTAAAAATAGAAGACACACATTTTTCATGGTATATTTTGCCTTTTCTGGATTGCTGCCATGAATATGTAAACCAAGAAAATGCCATACTCTTTTATGAAGAGAAGTTTCCAGGAGTTTAAGTTGTTGAAATATGACATTTCCAGTTTTAAAATGTACATATCTGTGCTCAAAAATTATTTTAAAGCTTTCTAAGTTAATTAGAATTTAGAATCTTCTCCAAATCAATGCCTGAAATTGAAGTATACCTTTTGATAAGGTACTGTCCCATTGACAGACTGGAATGGTAAGTTTTCCAGTATAACCTGTGGTTCTGACACTTAGGTTAAGCCTTCAAAATATTTACTTAGTGTTATAACAGCATATTTTAGTAGATTTCCCAGATGTCACAAGTTTTTATTTTAATTTTTCCTACTTACGGACCTGATACCTGCTTGAATTAACTTAGTGTTGAAGGTGTAACAGTATTACAAATTGCACTGATAAAATCTCCTACCAAAAATTCAGCGTAAAGAACAAAAGTGTTCAGTTGTTGTTATATAAATTAAATACCCTCATCAAGATTATGGTAGTAAGATCTTGGTAATCCCACAGATGGTAACTTGCTTAGTTTAAATTGTATGTGTGAGTGTGGTATTTGTGTATATGTGTCACAATGAAAATTGTGCAGTATGCTTCTAGAATGCTTTCTACCAAAGTTCTTTTTTCCTCAAAATAAATACAATTCAAACCATTAAATAAATACATTCGCAATAGTACTAAAATAAATACTAAATAAATGCATTTCATACTAATGAACAGAAACTACCACTTTAAAAATTACTAAAATTTTCACATTTTGTTATTACTATTGATGTTTTTGTCCCACAAAATATTCTATCTAGTATAAGTAGTATTTTCAGAATTCATAAGGAAGAGGTTTTTGAGGAGATGAAATAGTCTGCACAGAACAGTCTTCCAGAAACAAACTTTTTTTTTTGTTGTTTGCAGCCCAGTGTTTTATCTCCTAGTCTTTACGTTCATTAGTACTACACCAACTGAACTTTCTTTATTAGTGTTTAGCTCTTTAGTGAAACAATCACCACCTCTTTCCAGAAACTCAAAATATATTAAAAATAGCTGCATCTAGTGGTGACACTTGTTTTCTGACTTGACGCATGTGTTCACAAGGATAATTGAATAACTGTTCCAAAGCAGCTTGAGAACATCAGTGACCCAGCCTGGCTTTGACTGGGTAATTAATAAGCATGGCATACTGGTAATTCATAAGTATGGCATTTGATGTTGCACTTCAAGTCAATACAGGATCAGCCGTGGTAACAAAGAAGGAATATTTGAAAGCCTGATTCTGTAATAGTGGTAATGAATATTAATTGTTTGAGACTTCATGTTTACTAGAGGTGAAATACACTTTGACTGTGTAGGCACCTGGTTTTATTTGAGATATGCAACTATCCATTCTCAAAACTAAATACAATCACACATTCCATCAGGTAGATAGATACCTCAGTATATTTTTGGCTCAGTAACTTAATTGATTGTATATTAAGTTTCATCCCTGACACCTGCAATGTAGTAGACGTGAAAGTTTTAAAACATAGCTGCATTATAGAAGGCTTACTGTGTCAGGTGGGCAGATCTCATTACAGTTTCTTGTTAAAGATGTAGCTGCAAGGGAAGAAGAGAGCTGGCTGAGAAGTGAGGAGGATGCAAGTCCAGACTGCTATTAACTTACACACCAGACGGTGATATGTACGTGGGGGAGTTGGACTGCAGCCAACAGCATGCTGCCTTGATGGTTTTGTCAGCTGATAAATCTCATGCCAGTGAAACTGCAGTTGTCCTTGCTTTAAAAGCTTGACTTTAAGATGTATTCGATGCAAAAAACCCCATTATTATTATAATTATTATAATTATTATTATTGGCTAAGACACTGAAATGCAAAATCTTTCTTTATAATTATGTTCTTAATTTTCAGAAATGAAGGTGTATATTAATAGCTGCAGACCAATGGCAGTCATAGGTTTCGTTAGCTGCTTGCCTGTACAGACAGATACTATAGAAAACTGTGTTAGTTATATCCTATATCTGACTTTACAGGGTATGTATGTTTACCCTGTATATAAAGCATCTTGTAGATGTTCTTACGGATCCATATTTAATAAAATATGCAAAGTACAAGTAAATGATAGAAATTATCATGTAATATTGGATTATAAGAGTGTCCCTGGTGGCCCTGTTAAAATCACGAGTGCAAAATAATGAGCAGTGTACCAACCTAGGGAAACTGGTTCCTTAGGTATAGCGTAAGATATACTATATAGTTAGGCAAGATGATAGTCTGATACCTACTTAAAATTACATACTGTCTTGAGACCTAAAAAACATATATCCAGCATGTTTCATTTTTTAAAATAGTGTTTATTCTTTTTACTACTTTATTTCTCTACTGTCATTTTTTCCACGTTTCTTGTAGTGAATTTTCACTTAAGTATGGTATAAAACTATCCATTTAATATATCTCTTGTTTGACAAGGCTTTTGTTTTTGTGTTTTGTGTAACAGAAGTTTATTTACTTATAGTTTTATTCTCCTTATGAAAATGTCTAAGGAAACTACAGTTACTTAATTTTCTTCAGTGATGCTTATTAAATAATTCTAAACTGAGACTAAGAAATGCTCTTTTTCAAAAGAGTTTTCATTACTCTGGTTGTGATGACTGGATTAGATTTTGTCTGGTCCTGATTGGTACTGGTTAGGTCATTCTAAATCAGATAACTGATTTAACGGTTTTTAAATTGTATTTTCACTTCAGTAATTCTTAGAAGAAACACCTGCAACATGACTTTTGCTGTTCTTTTATACATTGTATGTAAAAATACTTCCTTTCTTTTGGAGTTAAAGGTGCCTAACTTATTCTTGAAGCCACATGGTCATTTGCACTATTTATCACTTTAAAATTTTTTTGAGCTTGTTATCATTAACCTGACCTTTCTATTTCTCCAAAAATTGAGCTAGAAATGGAGGGGGAAGTATGTAAGAGGCAAAAAGATCAGTGAAAAAACAGATGCTGCTGAAAAGGGGTGTGATAAGAAGGACATGCTGAATTGCATGACGACATGTCACAGAAGCTCAATGTGAATAAAGTGTCTGAAAAGATGTGATCAACACAGCAGAAAAGTCATAATAGATGAGGTTAAAAAAAAGATCTTCAGATTTTTCAGGAAAAAGCTTGTTAGAGACCTTGGCAACAGCCATTCTAGTGGAGTGAAAGGAAAGGAAGGACAGATTGAAGATTTCAAGCAAGTAAAGAACTACAGGAAAAGAACTTGAGGCATCAGTTGTAAATGTTTGAAAATTACATTCTTTGTGAGCTGTTTGTTTTAACACAGCTGTACAGAGATACTATAATGACTTCAGATGTCCCTCTAAACGATCAGCAGGAATTACTAAGCATTGTAGCTGAGGGCCTAATCAGGTCCAGATGTAGCTCTCTTCTGTACCATAGGGAAGGTGAGCATGACATTTCCCTCCCCACCAAGACAGTCCAGAGTTCTTAGAATATACCATTCAGTTCGGTGATGTTGCCCCTGTTTTTCTGTTTTGCCTGTGACAAGCAGCAATGACAAAAGGAATGACTGGAAGGAACAGTTGATAGCAGTGATGTATTCACAGAACTTTTTGTCAATAGCAGTACCAGTGTGTGAAGTGTTGGTCATGTTGTGGCTCTACGATCTTCAGTTGAAGGAGCAGGACTGAACAGAATGCTTTCTAACATTGATTTTGTTGAAACATGTTGGTATATTTAAGTTGAATCTTTTTTGGAAATAGGCAATTTTTAGAGGGAAGCCCCTGAGATGCAGAGAAGAGTCAGGCTGGTTGGTGGGGCAGGGAATACAAAGTGTCCTGATGCTGCAAATCTTCACTTTTCAGTCTGGAAATAGCCTTTATTACATTATTCTGGTTTCCAAGTATGCTTGAAAGTCTTTTTGCTTTGTTTCAGTGCAATATAAACACAAATTTCAAAAGTTACTGCAACATGAGTCAGATGCTGTAATATGCAGTTGTTATCTCCAGCTGGTTAAGCTATAGCAGTATTTTTTTAGCTGATCGTCTTTGAACCTTAGATGTCAGTGAGCTACTTTTATTGGATCCCTGAAAGGTAACTAAGAACAACAACCCATAACCAGAGGAATTATGGTGACTCTAAAGCAGTCTGCATGGCCCCTGGAAATTTTTTAGGGGTCTGCATATCTGAATATATTGAAAACGACTGGAATAGAGAAGCATGCAGTATGTATAAATCATGTTAATTTATTTTCCCATTGATGTTTGCAGCCTGTTAGTGTAACCCACAATAAAAATGCATTTGTCAGCATATGAGATACTGGTTTCAGCTGACAATCAAGTGAAAACACAGGATCGTAGAATAATTTAGGTAGAAGAGGACCTCTAGAGGTCATCTAGTCCAACTTCCTGCTTAAAGCATGTTCACTTAGGTCAGGTTGCTTAGATCCAATTAGATTCAGGTTGATCAGGAACTTGCCCAGCCAAGTTTGAGTGTCCTCAAGGATGGAGATTCCACAACACCTCTCCAAGCAGCCTGTTCCAGCAGTCTGCTTGGCAGGCACAGTATGCCCTTGATAAATCCATGCGGGCTGTTTTCTACCACCTTCTTGTCCGCCATGTGCCTGAAAATGCCTTCCACAGGGATTTGTTTCTCTTGGCTAAGGCACTCCCTGCTTCCTCTGGCTGTGTTCTTCCTTTTTGGGGTTCGGGGTTTATCTCAGTCAGGAGATGCCTGTGCATCCATAGTAGGCTTCTGCCAGACTTCACTTTCTGCACACGGGATGGAATGTGTTTGGAGGAGATTGTCCTCAAAGATCATCCAGCTCTTCTGGACCCCTTTGCCCTCCATGGCAGTCTCTAACAAACTGAAATCAGCCCCCAAAGTCAAGGATAAATAAAATTGAGAAAGTTGATGGGGGAAAAAGAACACAGCTTTCCACATGTATTAATTAGCCCTCTGAAATAAAAATATTTTGAAGTAATAAACCTATTTTGATAATTTTTTAACAAATATTAATCATGCAGCAAACTCCTACTACACTAGCAATCTCTAGTGCAGTTACTAAGCAGAACAATTTGTGTTTAAATGATCACTGCTGATAATGCTATAACAAAACCAGTGTTTTGTATGCTTGTGTCTTTAAAATGGTCAGGCATATGAATCACCCTAGGTGCCCCAGTTACTGCTGTGTAGCTTGCGGAGGTGGAACAGTTTACATTTCAGCTGAGCTGAGGCTACAGCCATTTCATGGTAATTTTAAAAAACGAGATAGCAAGCAGACTTTATTTCCTCTGAATATTTTTGCTTTAGCTGGTTACTGCTAGATTATGCTACGGGGTTTTTTAATTTTCTTCTCCCACCCCAGCTTTACTAGACTCAGTAGCATGCTTACATTAGCTGAAGTCTGTAACTTTTTTCTGTGTTACTCCTGGAAGATACATAGGTTCTGCTGCTTGTTTCACAAATTAAGTCATTCTTCTTGGTTGGAAGTTTCTAACCACAGTTATGACAGTTGCAGGTTTTGTGGTCAGAAACGGTAAGTTTACACTTGATCAGTTGTGCTTTACTAACAAGCATTTCAGTACTGATCCAATGTGATCCTATGGGCATTTAGATAACTTGCTTCTATTTTGATGAAAGAAAGGTACACTATTAAAGTGGGCCAAATAAACTTCCATCAGTATGTTTTGGAAAAAGATAAAAATATTCCATACATTCCACCTCTTCAGCAGCTGACAAAATCCAGTATTTTGGACAATAAAGCCATCATCCCTGGTGTCTGTTTTGGATTGAATGTTGGCTTTTTTTTTTTTTTTTTTTTTTTTTTTAATCCTCCTTCAGTGATTGGTTAAGTAGAGTATGTGTAACTTTTCTAATTAAAGGTACAAGGTCTGCTTATGTGTAATGAAATGCACAGAGACCATGTGCTGATAGAGTCCTGCAGTAGGACCATCTCTGGAAGATCTTATTATACTCCTTACCTCCATGGCAAGTTTGGAGGATGGAAGAGAAGGGAGGCTGCTAGAAAGATCCTATATATAAGGGAAGTTGTCTTAGACTAGTTTTGGTGACTTTAAATCAGTTTTGTGCCACATACTTAACAAGTGGACAGTCATGCTCTTTAACAGCTGATGGCTTGCTCTTACTCTTCAAAGTCAGTGGCAATATTGAATTATGCCTATTGTGTTAAATTAGGCAGATGCAATTTTGTTAAGGTTTATGCATTTTGTAAAGTTTGCCAAATAGCAGTTGTTACAATAATAGTGCTTCCCATCTTAGACTGCTGTAAAAACATTAGTTAGTACATTAATGAAATGTTGACTGCCTTGGCTGCATTTTATACTTTGTTGCGTCTGTTGTAATCAGAAATTGAGCACAGCCAGCATCAGAAATCTAGTAGTTTCAGCTCTGCAGTAATTGTGCTGAGAATTAGGTTGGAAAGAGAGGGACCATGCAGTGATTAAAGTGTAAAACAGGGGAACTGAATATCCAAACAGTTTATTGAAATGCTACTTGATACTGTGTTCGTTTAAAAAGTAATCAATAATTATTTTTCTAAAGTTTAAGTGTTATTTAAAATACAAGTAAACAATGGAGGAATAGATACCATCAAGCTTGACTGCAGGATACACTGTGTTCTCATATGAAGATCGTGAGGTTTTTTTATGTTATGGTAGCGCTGGATACAGTCTCTGGAGGAGAGGCTGTTTTTTTTATGCATAGGCTAAGCCAGAAACCTGGCTTAGCTGCTCTGTTTTCACTTACTGGCTGCTGTCATACTACAGTGTATCAAAATGAAGGTTTCTTAGGTTTTAAAATCATGGAATGAGAAGACCTGTGGCTCCATTTTTCTAGCACTGCGTTAAATTGATTTGTTTTTCTCTTCTATCTTAATTTTATTCATGGAATACACAGACAATGATTGCAAGCTGATGAGGAAATAATACTTGCAAAAGATGTGTGTTTGTTATGCTTGCTCTTTTCCCAAAAGCTTCAAGTTTATTCAGTTTTTAGAAGGTTAGTTGATAGGTTTGTGTTGAAAATGAAAAATAGGCAAGTCTAGTATGCCTCTTTTTTTTAGTATAGAAACTATGTCATTTGTGTAGTGTGTGTCTAATATAGTTTCTGATAAAGAATTGTAGACTGAACATTATTTTAATCTTTTTAATGTTTTCTAGAACACAGCCCAAAACTGTTTTTGCAGAAGTGGAACCAGAAGATGATGAAACAGACAAGCCAGAGTGGAAAAAACGTAAAATTTAAAAAATCTGGTTTAAAGAATATTTTTAGAGCATTTGAAACAAAGTGCAGCATTTATTTCTTTATTTTGGGTAGGGAATCAAAATTTGAAAGCAAAAATTAGTTCAGTTCATAAAACTTGTTGCCGTATGTTAAGGAAGTATACCAAAGCAGCTTCACACAGATGATAAACACGAACAAACTTTAATTTGTAATCAAATCCAAAGACCCGAAACCAACAAGACCATGGGGATAACCAAAACAACGCTCCAATAACATTTAACAAACTATAGGTTCAGTGTACCAGTTGGGGAAGTTATTTACTACACAGTGACACAGAATAACGACGACACATGAGTGCTGACTCCAGAGTGCGCAGACACTCACTCACTGAAGGGGAAATGTCTGACTGAAGGGTTCCCAGAAGATAAAATCGCTCACACAGGAGGGCAGGGGCTTGCTCAAGGATATCCAGAAGAAGTATTCACTCACCAAGGGTGGAGGGGAGGGCACTCAATCCTGGGAAGTTTCCTTGGGCAGCATCCCAGTCCCAAAAGGAGTGCTCCCGATGACAGACTAACTGCTCCAAGAAGAACCACTCAAAGGGGAGCTCAGGCGGGGGCTCCATTTTACAGCCTGGTCAGATCTGAGCTGCGGTCATGCATGGCCAGTGTTCCAGAAACTTCCCTCGACCGAAGCGTTTTGTTGTCTGAGGGCCTTTTCTGCCGACCAGGGCCCCGCCTGCCCCCGCGGGGGGATGGAGTGTACCTGACAGCAGCCGCGGTGTGCCGCCAGAGGCACGAGGGCAAGGGCGCGAGGGAGCTGGCGACCGCCATGTCGGAGGCCCGAGCCCCTGCTCCGGCGCACGGTGCAGAAAGGGATTGATGCATTACACTGGACTGTAACCCCACACCTGAATTTTGTAACGAGGAATGAATTATATTGTGCAAAGAACTCCGCTCAATGTCAGTTATCTAGCTTCACGATTTCAGTGAAAAATATTTCTTTATAAATAGAACTCCAGTGAATTCATTATATCACTAAATGTTTTTTAATTACTGCCAACTTTACAAATGCTTTGTCGTGACAGTGTCTGATGATTTTAAGTATATAAATAAAATAATACAGTTTCTCAGACTCATTTTTATTGCTTTCTAGTTAAGATCTCACAAATTACCCCCTTTGTTACAAGTGTAACAAAGTTTACACTTTTATTTAGATTAATTATTGTGAAATAATCCAGTTTAGTTCATTTCTGTGTTCACATAAGTTCCAATTTAGTTCACCTTTCTGTGTGAATTTTAGAAAACATTTTCCAGTGTCTATCCCTATTTGAATTATGTTGCTTTTAAGTATGTGTAGTATCTCATGCTATTGTATTCATAAGTGTTAGGATAGAGCAGAGCTGTGTATTTATTACTAGGCCTTTGTATTTATTGACTTTGTATGACTGAATTATGTATATCTTGCCTCACACTCTCTGAAGACTGATACTATCCTTTATAAATTGGTTGCATAAATATTGGCAGTTTTCATTGTTTAACACAAATTGCAGCTCTGAATGCTATAAACTGAAGGACTAAAACTAATGTCCTTTAGAGAAGGAGAACGGAACCAAGGTTAGTTTTAGGCATTTATATTGTGATTATAATAATACACAGTATGCTAAGTATTGTGATTATAATAACATACAGCAAGCACTCTGCATTTCTACTAAGAGTAATAGACATCATAAACAATCAGGCTTTCTTAATTATGAATAGATTCTGAAGGCATATTTTAAGGCTATATTTAGTAAAGCACTTAAATCACCTTTCTAACCTCAAGTGTGTGGTCCTGATAGTCAACAGAGCTTACAGGGGGTTTTTTAAGCATTGTTCTGCATCACTGTTTTCATGATTTCTTTTTCTAAGCTTATCTTTCTTTTTTTCAATTACCTTTTTTATACTTTAGGGAAAAGTAAGCCTGACTTCAAATGGTGTAAGTGAGCACTGGCATAACATTCACATGACAAAATATTTCCACTGCTTTCACTCAGTGTAGTCTTTTCATGGGAGTGGAACCTCACTAAATAATCCACAACTTGTCTTTGTCCCTTGTAAAAATATTTTAGTGCATACTTATGTAGAATAGCAAATCAATGCTTAATTTACAATTGCACCTATAATATGTAGAATGTGGATGGTAAATGGAAGAGAAAAAGAAATACCAGATGAAAAGCAACGGTTGTTCAGACCTGCTAAAGACCTCCCTGTGCAGTGTCCCTCTCAGCAAATAAACATTAAATGGCATTGTTTCATTTAAGGCTATTTTTTGTCATCCTTTCATCCAAAATTCAAAATAAAGTATTTTCAAATAAATTTCTATAAAATCTTGAATAAGATTTTTAAAGGATTATTATGTCCTTGGTTTTTAGTCTGAATATTAACAATTTATCATTTCTATTGTTACTTGTTCACTGAGACAGAGTGGCTTAGTGAGCAGAGCTGCAGGGAAAGGCAGATGAGGAAAAATGCTGCAGCTGTTCTCTGATCTTGAGGGGAGCTTCTTTTATATTATTTATTCGTATCAGCTAGATCTTGTTTCCTAATTCTTAATAGAATTAGTGCTTTAAGTAAACCCTGCAAAAGTTCTGTTAGAATTTTTTAAGAGTTTGTCATTGTTACTTACTGTGATTAATTGTCTTGAATGACTGTTTTAGCAGCCTAGAATTTAAAACAGTGCCTGTGCAGATATGTATTAAAAAGATTTAAAACTAACTTGAATTGTACTTCTACTTTAAATCTGGGCTTGGTTTATTTGCCATAGTCCTTACACTGGCTTTTCAGGCATGTTTACCAACAAGGCAAATCTTAACACATTTTTAAAAGCAGTTTTTAATATTGAACAGCTCCATGTAAGAGTTAATCCAGTCAGGAAGGAGATACAAACAGTGTGCTTGACCGTAGTTGGGACAGCAGACTCTGACTCAGCCCTTTGAATTGTCCAGGGAAAAATCTCAACATTAAAGCTATTAACATGATTAAATATTTGGTATGAAAGATGGAACTCTACATGCAAACTGGAATATTAGAAACTGTACTTGTATTTTTTTTATCAATCTAGTTTTCTTTTAAACTTCACAAAGGACCTATATTTTAGTAATTGCCAAGTTGTAATCTTGGTCCTCCATGTGTCTGTATTTGGTGTTAATGTGTCCAGAGTCCAGATGGGCTTTTGTTTCTGTATTTCTGAAGCAAGGTGGGCAAAGACTTGCCTGCAGAGGTGCCACAATCATCACTAATATTTTGGCATGCAGAATGGCTGCTATGGTGTTTTCTCCAAATCTGGATTTCTCTCTCTGTGTTCTGTGTAGCTTCTAGATGTTTCTTTATAGCAGTTTATGGTGTTTTGTCCTTTGTGCTAATGACTAGTTAAGACCAGCTGTTAAATACTACATGCCTGTCCATGGGATCAAGGCTTTTCCTGCCAGATCATTGCAGCCCACCAGCTAGTGGTCAGCCTGGCTTCCCATTACTTGTTCGTGTTGCTGCCATTGGTACAGAGATCTTCATTTGACTCTAGTCTTTTGTATTGTCCTATTCTCCTCATTCCTTTGTCCTACCTTATTTTTTAAGTCTTCTGGAACAGGCTGGAAGATTGTTAATGCTGTCTTTGAGACCTGGCACTTTTCCTCTGGCTGTTTGCAACTACTTCATGATTGTTCAAGTTCCTCTCTGGTCTACGTCCTGTGACCTATAATTTACTGAAGATGATACTTTTGCCTCTGTTGTTTTGTGATTGATGGCAAAAACGGTGAATTTGTGCCCAGAGGCTTCCAGTCATTGGCTCCTTGCTTATAATTGCATGCCTAGTTTGATGTTGTCATGCCTGCCTTTTCTCTGTTGGGCTATAGAAGAGTATGTATTATGGGAAGAGAAACCATGAATCTTTGTCCTATCCGTTCAATCTCTGCTGGACCCTGAGGAGTCTTGTGCAATGAGTGGCATTGCTAAGCCAAAATGCCATCTTATTAGTTAGATCTTTATCCATTGGTTTGTTTGACCTCAGATGCCTTTGGGGGTATCCATCTTGAGACATTTGTAGCTTACATCCTTATTTAATACTGAATCATCAGAATTTTGATGTGGCCTGTTAGTCACAATAATATTACAAAATCCCTCTTCTGTTTCCTCATTGTGTTAAATGCTTGTCTATCTTCCTAGCCTGCTGCTCAGCAATGGGAACCTACCGAAGGCCCTATGGTTACTCTCATTAAAAATCAGGAGGCTTGTGCTGACTTTTTACCATGGGTAGGCTAGGATTTTGTGAGCTTCTGTCCCATGTTGTTGATCTCTGAGCTCTTCTTATCTGTTGAACTGTTTCATGCATAAATGTAAATGAAGAGTTGGATAGCTGGCTAGCAGAGATGACCTTATGCTTGCCTGGCATTGAAGCATAGATACATCTTACTACATCAGTTTTTAAATCTGCTAGGATTTTCGGCTAATCCCACTTAAACATAATTCTGTATACATCCATCCTCTGGGACTCCAGCATCTAATTGTTTCATGCAGTCTTGATACCTCTGAAACACAAGGTATTTATATCTCTGCAGCACATCATCCTGGTTGAAATTTGCTTTGGTTGTCAAAGCTTCCCATTGTACATGCAGAGGTACTGGAGCATGCCGACAGTCTCACACTTTGGCAGCAGTGTCTTATATCCACTTGTTGGAATCTCCATAACCTTTGTGTTGCTTGAGTGCCTTGGTAATAGTTTGGTTTTGGTTTTTTTTTTTTTTTTGTAATGGCTGATGATCAGACGGTATGTTCATCTTGTACTCTGAGAAATGACTCAAAAGAAGGCTGATTCAGAAAGCATAGCCAATAAGTCTCTTTTTTTTCTTTTTTTTAATGTACCTCAGCTATCATGCAGGGCTATTGTATATCAGTGCTAGTACTTACAATTTTTCTTACTCCTTCAAAGAATTATTCCTGCAGGCTCTGGCCTTTTTCCTTGTATCACGAAATAGTAGATGGAACTTATGAATACCTGCAGTAGATAAACTGGACTAAATGGGTCATTGAGAAGTTGTGTAGTCCATCCTTGACTTAAGTTTCAGCTATACCTGCACCAGGTCTGGCATTAAATGCTTCTGTGATAGGCACTGCACAATCTCCCTAAACAATCTGTTCCAATGCTTCATTCTTAACAGTAGAAATTTTTTTATAATCGGAGAAAAACATTCTTACAACAATTTAAGTCCACTATTTCCTATTCTGTTCCCAGCAGCATGGAAGTCAGTTTATGACGTTCCCCTTTGCAGCAGCTTTTTACTGTTTGAATTTTATTGTCTTCTCCTGTCTCCTCTTATTCTTTTATTTTCCTTTACGGTTTGTTTTCTGACATACCATCATTGTTTGCTCTTCTCTGCCTTGTTCTGATTGTCCACATTTGTTGTACTGACCACATCGTATTCAGTGTTTCAGATGAAGCTACTTTCTTATTACTAAAGAGTAAACAGGAAAAATGTTTGTATGTCTCACTACAGTCATTTTTTTCTCTGCAGTTTAGCATTACAGATTTGTGTTCAGGTCCTTACCCCCCTCGAACTCCAGAACGTCCACTGCAAAGCTACTTCCCAGCCAACTCACTGTCTAGTCCTAAGTATTAGGTTTTGTCCTTTGTACTGAATTTCATTGCATTTTCTCAAAATGTATCACCATTTTGTTCAGATTATTTTGAATTTTCTCTTGTCCCCAAAGTGCCTGCAACTTTTTACAGCGGACGTAACAAATGTATTCTTTGTTCATTCAGCGAAGCCACTACTGAAGTTGGTGGTTAGTGGCAAATCCACAGGGTTTCCCATATGTGTGGGAGGGAAATGTTTCATACAGTATTAATTTTCTTAAGGGTTCATAAGTCTCTAGTTAATGTACTCAGAATTTTTTTGAAAAACAATTGACTTTCCTAGAAATTTCTGGATTGCCTTCGTGTCCTTTGGTTTCAGGACTTTTTTAATGGCTCTGTCCCTTTGTGTCCAGCCGTAATCCTTCAGAGATTAACAGTGTTAGATGTGGGAGGCCTCAAGTCCTCCTTGTGTTCAGCATTTCAGTACTTCACATTCTGAGCATATTTCCAGCCTGTCCCATTGAGGTGGTTCAATCCTGAATTCTCACTGATTTTAATTCTCCTTCTATAATAAAAAATGTCATCTGCTACAATAAACTTGTGTAATCTGTGAATTAGCAGTAGGGCTAGCTACACACCTATAGGTGTACATCTGGTCTGATCTATGCTAGGATTGAATTACTACATTCACACCTGCCAAGAGCTGTGATACTGCAATGAGATCTATGATTGCCTTACTTGTGGTGGTTGTGTTGGCATTGACTCCCTGAAACTCCAAGCATGGTGGATGCAGCAGTGTTTCTTCTACAGCTTTCCTGCCCACCATTTGCTTTTCCAGTGGCCTCAGGAACATTTTACTGAAAATCATCATCTTTAAGCATTTTTCTAGCCCATTACTAATGATTGTCGAGATCACTGGGATTGCATTGCAGCTGATTTAAGAACATGGGAGTGTACGTGACACTTAGATTACAGGTGTTAGGTGACACTTAGTGTGCAGGTTTCCATAGTGCTCAAATGCTGAGGAACCCTGAGCTTTTTAGAAGTCTCTGGAAGTCTCTGTCTTTGGGTGCTGGTTGCATGCCAGCAACCACCCAATATCTCATGTTTCTCACATCCTCAGGGGCACCATTTTTCCTAGATGGGAAATTGTATTGCTGTTTCTCCTTGATTTCTGTAGAATATTCACGTGACTGAAACCTGTGTTACTGGTCCATCCCGATCTTGTGTTACTTAGCTTGATTCTGCAAATGTGTTGTACAGCCCAGGATGCCCTTTAATACAGAGTTGCCATTGCTAGTAACAGGCCAAAGTTTTGTATTAAGCTGAGAGGCCTCAGGACTTGCCTGGGTTTGGACTTGTCTTGGGCTGCCTGCACCTTTGAGCTTCTTTAGCTGCTGTCTAACAACCAGGTGACAGCTGCTTAATTTGTTTAAGGTTTTGCTTAGCTTTATCCAATGATGTGGAAGCTCATTTTGTCATTCCTGGCTTTGTAACTGGTAAGTAGTAGTTCCATGTGGTTCTGTATTGAATGAACTAGTGATGACTAGTGAATTAAAATGCAGCATAGAAGAGGACAGTCATGTGGTGATAGCAGAGGCTCTGAAGGTGTGGACACAGGATTATACCAGCAGCCCTGGGGCTAAAAGACATTTAGCAGTGGTAATTACCGGTCATTCAGAGAAGGGAACTTTGG